TACTGGTTGTGAGCGCAACTGGAGTACGTTCCAATGGTTGCATACTACTAGGAGGAATCGACTTGCTTCTGAGAAGCTTCATAAACTAGTGTACGTTCATTATAATTTAAACCTCCGAGAGCGACAAATAAGAAGGAAGCTTGAAGACTATGGGCCGATAGACTTAGACACAATATTTGTCACAGACACAGCAGATTAATGGATAGTAGAAGAGGAGGAGCCAGTGTTGCACAAGAGAGCGTTCCTTGATGCTATCGGTGAGGAAGACCTTGAAGAAGGTGATGAGCAGCATGAAAGAGGAAGCAGCCAGCCAACGTATCCACAATTCGTCGGAGATGTCGGTGATATTACACCTAATGAAGGAGAGTAAGAAGGGGGTCTAAGAGAAAATGAGAGAGACGATGATTCTGAAGCCACCCTATCCCAGCCATATTATTCACATATCGAGTCCCAACAGCAACAGTGTAGGGATGAGCACGACAGTGTAGGTGAGTATGAAGGATGGACAAGCTTCGAAGATTTGGGATTGGGAACACAACAAAACACTAACACTCAGGGATTTGGGTATAGTCAGACGCCTGCTAATATCGATGATTCGTTTTTAGATCAAATCAATGAATTGTCAAACGAATTCAATCAATGGCACCAGCGTGACCAAGAAGAACAACAACGTTGTCTGTCATTTTATTTTTAGATCGTATGTTACTAATTATATGCTTTATTGTAGTCCATGTATGTTGATATACTTATTCCATGATAATTCTATGTTTATCCTTTTGTGTGATGTAAATTAAATGCTGAATAGTAGTTCATGCAGGGAAAGAACATATCATTATTCGCATATTCATGCAAAAACATGAAAATTCTTAATGGAGTACCCTCATTTCTTATTGAATTCCTAAAAAACAATATTTATAATGAATTTTAATAATTTTTTCGGATTTTTTTGAAGCTTTATTCTGACCGATTCACCAGATTCCCGATCCGGATCGCCAATTCACCGATCCGGATCGGTTTTAAAGGTGCCCGATCCGAGTCGCCGATCCGCTTTTTAAACCATTGGTATCTATAGAACATGCGCTTCTAGAGTATGAAGCACACGACTCACCCCCTAGCACAACATCCAAAGCCAACTAGGGACTCAAATTCTTTTCTTGATTCTTTCCAACTTTTCCAGAAAGGGAGCCAATTGGAAAACCCATAAACCCCAGGCCAAGACCCAATATTCCTAGAGACTGGACAGCCCAACTCAGCCCAACTGAACAGCGATATTGGATGTTTGGCAGTTAGTTATATAAAGCAGGAGTGGAAAAGAAAAAAGTAGTTGTACTGAAAAGGCAGCAGAACTTGAATGGGAGTACGGATATGGCTCCGATATCAGCATAAGTTTCAGTTATCAAATGCTTGCTATGGAATTCTGGCATTCATCTCAAGTCATTCTGCCAAACAGTGGTAATCTTCGTGTTTCACCTAGCATAGGGCTTCCTGAGTTATGAACTCACTGAGCATATTGAAATAGCTTATAATTTCATGGAGAAGGCCAATTAAGCAAGGTTCAGAAACATTACATACAACATTAGAAGCATTGGCAAATCTTCACCAAAAATTCCATCACAGATCATTTCTTGCCTAATTATCGACGGAAAACACAAAAAGCAAGTTGGTTATTTCCAGCAGGTTACCTCTGCTATAAAAAATTAGGTTTCCACGAGCACTGAGTCTCTTTACACCACCAATACACTAATTTAGTGGACTACCATAATTTCTCACATTTCTGATTGACAGCTCACTTCTTAAGTTCGACATAATAACACGAATATCCAATTTGAAACCATATTCACATATATCCCAATTTTCGCATGTATGCTGCAGTGCATGGTGTGAAGCACACATGCACGCTTACAAGGAACAAATACAACTGCATTCATGTTAATCATGACTTGTATATATTAAATTAAGTTCTAACTCACAGATTTTATCAATATATAGATAAAACCAATTTCAAGGTTTATGGTGTCCATTAATTTGGAGTCAACTAGAAGAACAAACTAATGCATATCAAATCAACCAAAATGAAAATAAGTTTCATAAAGCAAGGATATCTATAGTGCACTTCAAAACAAGGAGAGAATGTTTCTTACTCTGCATACAAAAGCTGCAGCAGCCAATTCTGAGAGATAACCATTTAATCTACTCAACCGTTCCTCTCCACCAATTGCGAATCCCTGTTCACTTGCCCATATCCCGTTTCCATTGTCAAAACCAACACCATTCTGAAACGTTGGATTAGCCTTTTTAATGCATCCATTCCCATAGGCTAGTACATGGTTAGACCCACCATGGTTGACATATCCAGGTGAAATGATATCTTCTTCTCCAACAGCCTCGACATAGTTTGCAGCAATTTCACTTTGTTCAGCCCTCTTACGAATTAACAAGTCAGCATCTTGGAGTGTCATGAAACGAATAAGCCTTCCATTTTCATCAAGTATTGGACCGTCAACAATGCAGATGAGTTTATCAGCCCCAATAGCTAGTGCACAAGCAGTGGCAACTTCATAAGTGCTGCAAAATGGGAAAACCAAATACTATCAGCGACGCATCTATAATTCAACAGAGGGAATGATCTAGACAGAAAATCTTCATTACTAGAGCACATTTTTAGCAATTAAAATGATAAGATACTCTGGAAGGTCAACAACTAGAAAACATCCTGTTTCCTCGACTATGAAAGGATTGGCTAAGGCATCCAAACAAAACTGATATTGAAGGAAAAGTTACTATAAAGCTACCAGACTCAGGCAATCAATCTTGAATGTGTACAATCAAAAGAAAACAAATCATCTAAATTTTTAGGGAATGAAACTAAAAACCTAATAGCATTTTCCATACATGCATGCATGCAAGTACTTATATACGTACGTGCGTATGCATGGAAGTTTAGCATATTTCTTACAGGAAAACATTTGGGCCTCCCAAGGGCAAATTGCAATGGATGAAAAATTTCAAAAAATTAATTTGGAGTCATGAAAGGGCTGGATCCCGCTGCATATGAAATGAATGATACGCAATTGCAAGTCCAAAAAAGCAATTTTCCAGGGTCTTTTTGGAAATTCGTTTTCATAGGCTTCTTCACTAAGCCCAAGACAATTTGTGTGCTAAACTGGGGATGAAACAGATGCCCCTAAGACCCCAAAAATGGAGGACAGGGGACCACGGACCACTGTAGCAGTTTGCCATGGGCAGATCAAATGTTTTCTAGTAGAATATATTTTGCACATTAATTGGAACATATAGGATTTCTCAGCTTCCAAAGAATTTATTTGATTAAGAATTAGACCACAGGTCACATTATGGTAAGAGTTTCTCCATTATACTAACAAAACAATAATTAATCATAATGCTACAGCTAGAGCTCAAAGATTTAACGATCATTTTGTATCATCAAAGCTGCAGCCACCTTAAGAGTATCACAGAGTTCATTATAGCAGATATAGGAATGCTAATATTATACCCTAGTTACAATGAATTATGGTTATTGGGAACGCATGTATCTCGAAACATTTAAAGAATCAGAATCACGAAATCAGGGGGTGGCCAGATGATACTTATAGTCAGAATCGTTGTCTATTCGAAACGCATCACATGCAGCAGGATTCCCACCTATGGGTATAGCACTCTGATATAATAAAAATCAAGATTACTATCTTGCTGGAATTGCGTTCACATCAACTTGGAATCGAGATTCCTAACTTACGGGAATCATGCACCAACCACTTGGAACCAGGCAAGAAATTATCAAGAAATGAGTTCTAAATTTCAAAAAATTAAAAGTTTTAGATTATCTATAAGCAAGAATTCCTTAGTACTGGCCTCCATATGTCAAGTATGCTTAACTAGGGCTCTCCTATTATTGGAATAGATGTCTCAAAGTCAATATATTGAGTGCCATTTATCACAGCTCTCCACAAGTATTGGAAACAAGGTCAAGAAACCTTAACCGCGAACTTTCCTAGAGTTTTTAGATTGAATAAAGAAAATAAAATTACTTTATTTATCATAATGTATTTTAAAAGATGGACATTTATTACGAATTCTTGAAATTTGGGAATGATCTAAACTATAGTTCATTGACACCCATAGATGATACCCATCATATATTGACTATTAATATATTTTAAATAGCAAAATTTATTAAATAATTCTTGAAAAATTCTAAGCATTCCCCAAAATTTTGGCTATCATTTTGATGTTGTGGATATATTGACTATTAATATATTTTAAATAGTATCTCTAATCGCTGTTCCTAAATATTGGAAGTGAGGCAGCATATTGGTTGAATCATTCTCTTATTTACCTATGAATCGCAAAATTTCATGCAGGGAAATCTAAATTTCAAAGAAATTGGAACGAGATTCAAAAAATGTGGATTTGAGATTCTTAAATTCCTGGAATCGGGATTCGTGGCAATCTGTCGCAGAAATGCGGAATCGCGATTCCAAACTGGAATAGCTACCTAAGATGGACGATTCCGTGAATTATACAATGAATTGTAAGGCCAGCCAATAAATAAGTTGACCTATCAACCGATCAAACACATAATGGCTGGAAACAAATAAGAGGAATATATCAAATCAGAATGGTTACTTAAAGCAGATGGAAAATTGGGTCAATGTCAACCAAATAAACAAAAATGTGTATTTGAGAAGTTACAAGAAATAAATAAACATAAATGTCCAAGACAAATGAAACAACTACTAAGAATTATTGGAATCAACGGAAATGAGTAATTCCAATACTTAAAATGCGCTTAATGGAAATATATAACTTCAAGTGTAGTCAAATTACTATATTGAAGGGTGACCCAAAGCAAACTCATGTACAAACACTATGATTAAAAAGAAAATCCTTAAATAAATTACAAAGCATACTTGCAGTTTAAAACTTCCCCAGAGCTCGAGTAGCCCAAATTGCTTACTATAGCTATACAGTTTGCATTTAGCCTTTCTTGTATGCGAGAAACATCTATCTTCTTCACTTCTCCAGTTGCTCCAAAGTCAATACCTTCAACAACCCCTCTCCTCTGCCAAAATTTCAAGGCTGCGTTAGAATATAATATTTTTAGACTTTTTGATCATTTAAGAATCTACAGGATCTATTAAAACAATTATATTTGATAACTTTGCAAATTCAAAGCAAGAGCATCTCCCAAAAATAAAAAACATACCAAAAAAAAAACAAAAAGCAATATGTCCTAGGAAAGGGGCTTCTCACATGGTCAGAACCACAACATGAGGTCAAGAATTCCTACCATACAAGCGAGAGTGAGAGAGAGGGAGAGAGATTTCTTACTACTTCTTTGGACTATGTAGAAAGCAGTATACAATCTAGTATTGATATAAAATTTATTGTTTAGGTACGGATCCCGTGAACCAAAAGCTTAAGTTATTCATACATCTGAGTACTGTACCATAGATGTAAGAACATCTAAGCTAGACAAAGCGTTCAAATGTAGTAAGTAAACCATGGTAGAACTAAGAATTTCAATGATGAATATTTGTCAATATTAACGGAAATCAATTATGAGTTAATAAGGCCTCCCCCATATCCAAAACACTGCCAATAGAACCTGTTTTGGTCTTAGGGACAAAACTAAAATAAAACTATTTAATCGCTATCACCAAAAAATGTAGATTGTTCCACTTGATGATGACTGTTAAAGCGCATAGAGATAAGACATGGATATGGCAACCGCGACGTCCAAACAGGGCTTAATTTTTTGTATAAAATTGCAAATTCAAATTAGTGTATGAAGTAAATATCTTACCTAAGGTAACACACAACACAAAATGGAAAGCAAAAATATAATAAAGCCAAGTCTTTACAGTAGAAGTAGTGACCTGTGAGCTTCATCAAAACCTATCACTTATGAGCATAACCTGCTAGTTATAAGCACATACAGAAAGCTTATTACCTTTGCTGCTAAAAAATTCCCACTTGCAACACTAACTCCAACATCATGCCAACGACTATTATCCCCATGGCGACGAAGACTAAGTATAGGAGGACCAGGAGAAAGCTTTGCTTCAATTGTGAGACGGATTCTGCCAGCTGCTTCCATTGCAGCCTCTAACGAATCAGAATCTGTAAGTCTATAGCGCCCAACATACTTTGGTTTGCAGCCTGCAGAAAATGTTTAATGAATTTCCATTTATAACCAGCACCTTATAAAAAAACCTTGGAAAAAACAAAAATTCTTCATTTAGTAGAATGTTGATAAGAATTGGTTAAAGTTCCATTTATATATTTATTCAAATTGCTACTTTCTATTGTTTGGTTGACTCCAACTACACAGTAGTCGCAGCATGTTCCAAAGTTCATTATGTTTTAGGACTTCAGCATATACATTTCAGGTAGGGCATTCCATTCAATGGTTGCCAAAGGTATCCGTAAAGTAAGAAGAGGAAACAGAGTTCGCCAAGAATTAAAGTTTGTTCATTAGGTATCAAGATGTTGTCCTTTTATGCAATGGGGCATCACTCTTTTGTGATGGGAAACTGCATAAAGAATCACCACAGATGCTATAAACAAGGAGGGCATAGATGGAACAGAAGAGCTTTTTTTGGTCAGTTAGAACACAAGATTAACTCAATATTCAATACTGATAGTATTTAACCATATTTGTTTGTTCATGCATTTGAAGGTGGACAACAAAATCAGAAAATCAGAATAAACACAAGCACGCACGCACACGCACCCATAAAAAGTCACTAACCACTCACCTCTCTCAACCAAAAGTTCGTCAATTTGCACATGAGTTCCAGGAACAATGACAAATTTGATTCCTAAACCATGGAGGAGAGAAATGTCCTGCATTCAGATCACATTGTCAGCGACCAATACTAAATAACCAATAACCTACCCAAACTTGTCAATGTATAAAATTCAGCATCAAAGAGTATGCAGGAATACCAACAAAATCCACAATAAAATTCAGAACAGTGTTAAGGACCAAAATTAACTCCCTTAATTTGAACAAATAAATTAGAAAAGACCCAATTTGCATCAAATTTTCATTGACATATGCAATAGTAGTGACTATGAAGGAACCAAACTTCTCATTCCTGAAAATGAACTAGCAAAAAAGGACGAATGGCAAAAAGAAAGAAAGAAACATTGATATCTAAGTATACAAGTACAGCAACAATCTAATACAGATAAATTTCCCACTGCGTTAAAACCAAAATTCACACCAAACAAATAAATAATTCCAAAAATTAAAAAATAAAACTTGAAAACTGGGAAAAAACAAGAGAACATACCTGTAAAATTCCATCCAAATAAGGACTAGCAACAATCTCCCCTGAAATAATAATCACAAACGTACAACCCCTGTGTCCATGAATATAAGGCCATGCCTGCCTAAACCACCCAACAAACTGCGCATTCCCCCAACACGATTTTTCCCCATGGAAATCCTCTACCATCCTGCTTTCTAGCCTATTAGTGAAGCACGAAGCACAAAGATCGCTAAGCCGAGCTCCATTCCTCAACCATTTAAAGCAGGGTTTTCCCACCATTGATAGAGAACTTCTATTGATCTGCGAGGACTGGTGCCATTGAAGAAGGGGAAGCCATGAATTCAAGGTCGAAGCAGCCATGGAAGATGAAGAGTCAGGTTCTCTCTCAATAACAAAAGAGAAATCTTTAGGGCTTCAATTCCATGGTAGAAGAAGCAGAGGGTTGAAGGTCAAGCTTTTGAGCTCAAAAAAACATAGTAGGCGTTCAAAGAAGCGGCGACGCGAATTTAGCGGAACAAAGGGACTGATATTTTATGACGCAAACATATTGACACGTGACACTGGCAAAGTTCTCAACGCTTTGTTTTGGAGGGTTTCGGTGACGAAAGCCGGTCTGTGCAACTGAGAAGACCGAACTGGAATTCATGTTTCTCGGAAACTAACTGAAATTTCGCCGGATTTGAGAACTAGCAAGTCACAAGAGCCACGAGTATGAACTTCGGCGAAATTAAGATGAAATTCAGGCCGAAACTTGCTTCGAGTTTCGGCTGAATAATAAAATTTTAATGAGTAAAACTTGAGCGGCCGCCGTAAAAGTCAGACTTGAGACTAAAAGTTGAGAGGCATATTGGGTGGGTATTTTCCAAAAGAATATTCTATATTAATTATTAAAGAGATTATAAGATGTACTTTCAGGTGCCATCAAACGAAAAGGTTCACGCTTCCCCTAAGCCCTCCAATTTCGATCGAGAGAGCCGCTTAACGGTTGATATTAGGTCCAATATCTCAAAGTATTTTATTTTTAATATTTTTATACAAATTATATGAATATGAAATTTGATATATATCATATTTTTATTGGGATGCATTCATAAAAAATATTAAAAATAATTTTTCGATAAAATATAATAACCAAAATACTCTTTGAAACTTTCAGAGGTATTTTGATTATTTTATTTTATTGAAAATATTTTTATTTTATTTTTTGCTAGTGCGAGTTTAACAGATGATTGGATGTACAAAATTTGGTGTCAAAATAGTTTGTAAAAAAAATTAAAAATAAAATAGCGTAAAGACGTAACATTATGATTGGGGCAATTATAACTCTCCATTAAGAATAGATGATTGGATAAGGGGAAGTATATACGTTTATGTTGTAGAGAAAGCATAAAAAGCTTGCCCGCCATCAAAAGGTTATGTTAATAATATGTTATTGATATAAATATGATAAGAGATAATGTATTTAATTTAAAAATATAATTATATCTCTCTCTTTATACGATGTAATTGAATATTCAATTTTAGCAAAATGAGGAAAGTTTTATGCAATCTTAAAATGTAGAATTAAAGGTGTACTTCATAAATCTATTGAAAAATATTGTTTTAATGTTGAAAAATCATGTAATTGATCATCTCGACATTGAGATATATGAATATGAAAGAAAAATAATAATAAATGGAATTCAAAAATAGTGCATCTTGCAACACATTATCTAGGATGTTCATTTTCAATATTTTCATATGTTTATAGAACTACTTGATTTTAACTATTTTTGGAGTTTAAAATTTATAATTAGATATGAAAGTAGATTTTGAGATAATCCAAAGAATTTTTTACATCAAAATTACATGTTAAGCCTTAATTGGATTGTTTAAGGTTGCAACCTTATAACTTAAATAATTTGCCAATTTATTTTATTTCGCTATATAAGCTACCTTTAAGTGCGGTTAAAACCTTGGAAGGGTTGAGGAATGTTTATTGGGTAGAACATGAAAATAAGAGATGTTTTCATTTAGTCAAGTCAGATAAGGTGTGTGCTCCTATAAGTGACGGAGGTATGGGGATTAAAAGAATAAAACCTATGCATGGTGCACTTATAATGAAGTGGTGGTGGAGAATTGCAAATGAGAAAGTGCAATTATGCAGAAAAATTTTAGGGGAACAAATATGGTAGTGATATTGAATTTGGGCTGATTGCAAGGGGAAATAATAAAAAAAGGTATTACTTCTATGTGGAAAAGGATTGCCGCTCATCAGAAATCTAAGTGCTATGCAAATGTTGGTAGGGAAAGGTAATAATGTTAGACTTTTGCAGCAAAATTGGATTAGAAATGGTCCTTTAAAATATCAATTTCCTGATCTTTTTACTAAGGTTAAGTCCAAAAGTAAAATGATTAGTGAGATGGTCAATGGCAGAGGTTTTAATGCTATCTGGGATATCCGATGTCCCTACCGAAGAGTTAGTAATGAGGTGGCAAATGAATTAGTTAACTGTCTAATTCTATTGCAGCATCTTTATTGTCCTGATGAATTTGATAGATGTATATGGTGTTGGGTTTATGTAACCTTTAAAGGCCTTATGAGAGCTTGTATGAGTATTTTATATAGTGGAACATAAATTCAGTAGGAGTGTGGTCCTTTTTTGAACCATACTAGGCAAATGTTATTTACTGATACTCGGACTAGGCTCGACTAGCTAGACTAGCCGAAGTTTGGAAAAACCCAAGATACCTGGGCATAGGGATCAACCTAGAAGGGTTTAGTGGGTTATCCCTTGATGAGGTTGGAGTATGCTCAAATGAGAGCCAAGGGACTGTGTGGGCCTTGGGTGTGATGAATAGCCTTTAAAGACAGGGCTAACATCATTGTTATATCATCACACTGCATGTACATAGATAATCGTTTTGAGATTCACCAATGAGGGTAAAGCGTGTAATATGCGAGAGTTTACTACTATGCACCATAGAGTCATGGTTGGATCATGGTGCTTCAATCATGAACCCTTACAGTGAATTGTGGGTCATGCGAACTACTAGGTCAGTTTGAGAAAGCTAGGCAGATCGTGATTCGCAATTGAAGGTGGAGTGCTCCCATGTATTGATAATTTCTTAGATCTAACAGATCATATTCCCATCAAAATTAATTAATTTTATGATATGTGATTTTTAGAATGTTTATTTGAATTTTTGTGAATCTTCTGATATTTTATTTTTATCATTTGAATTTATAAAATAAGAGAAATTAATTTTTCGACATTTTAAATAAAATATAAGATTTAAAAATTCTAAATATGAAATAAAATATTTTCTAAAAATATTTGGGACCTCCATACAATATGAGACCCAAAATTTAAAAAGATGTGAATTAGGTGGGGCCCAACTACTAAAAGACACGCCCCCACCCATTCACGTAACATTCTTGCGAATAATCTTTATCCTCTTGGTTGGTTTACCTTTTTAAGTATAGCCAACTTATGTGATAAGGTTGAATATTTGAGATATTTACTAAATCTCTAAATCAAGATTTGGTTGATCTAATAATTAGTGATTAGATACATTAAATATAAGTTTTCCTTATTTTATGATAATAGGTTTAGGAGATAGAGGATAAGGCTATAGTTCATCTCTTTGTATCTTGATAATGGATCAAAGAGATAGATGACTCAAATCTCTCACCCCACAAGTCTCCTTAGATCGATGGTTGAGATTTGACCCTACGAATTGAGGTGAAATCTATAGCATAAAAAATGTATAAAATGAGGTCTCCCCTCATAAAATGAGATATGTATTCTGTTCTCTAGAATTCTCTCTCCCTACCCCAAAATTTAGTTCTATCTGGAAAGGGCTTTGGATTACCAAATAAAGGCATGCCCCAATTTTATCTCTCTCTCTCCAAGTTGCATCATGTGTTGGTGGCACGCATCACTTTTGTTCTGTTCTTTTATGGGTGGCAAAGGGGTGGAACCCTTTGCTAGTAGATCTCTTCCTCTCTCTTCATATTCATCTCTCATGTCTCTAAAATCAAGTTAAGAGGCTTGATCAAGATTAAGCCATTGAATGGATTTTTGCCATACTAGAGAAATCAACATACCGATCATAGATCCCGAGCACTATCGAAAGGAGGAGACTCGGTGTGGGGTGTACTAATCCCGGTTGAGGTAATCTTCGACAAGTTTACCTTTTAAAATATTTACTTCTCTTCCCATAAAACATTAAAGTCTACTTTTGTTTCTTAAATAAAGAATTGTATTTGAAGATGTACCAATTGAAAATCGATTTTATTTTTATTTTATTTATTTCAAGAGTGATTTGATTATAATTGCACATTGTAAGTGATCTTGCCGGTGCAGGTGTAATAAAGAATTTTTTTTAAAGAATTTTTTTAAAAATATATACACCGCGCTTTATCATAAAATCCTTTCATTGGTATCAGAGCAAGGTTGATAATTGAAGCCATTGGATGTCTTTTTCCTTTATTGAGTCGAGATTAAGCTTAGGAACGAGATGTAAGAAAACTACTAATCTTTGTGGTCAAGTAATACACCGGTTAAGAATTATTGAAATATATTCAAAACATCGAGAATGGCACTTTAACGAATTTATATTATATACTATTTTGGAGCAGTTATATGAACAAGATAAAGATGTATTTTTCTATTGCATACTTCAATGAACTTGTGTATCTTTGAGAGTATGATCTACCTACAAAATTTCAATAAAAGATCCTAACGGACTTGAAAGTTATGGACATATCAATGAAGTATGTCAATTCTGACCCTGCAAAATCCAGAAACTGTCCAATGAGTTCCGTGATTTTTCTCACCAATCATATGATTTTATTTTTAGCTGAAATTGGACTGTGACTCATAAAATTGAATCTACTTTCAAAGATATGATCAATTTATGATCAATTTATTGAAGGGTGCGCAAGTGTTTTCTGCAACGAAAACTATTTCCATAACTTGGAAGTCATGATTTTATTTCTATTCTTAACAGAATATTTTATGGCCCATAGTAAGTTCTTAGACTTCCATTTTAAGTCTAGTTTCTAATAAAATTTATTTGAAAGAGAAATATCTATTTGAATAGATGAATAAAAGTTTGGATTGAAGATAAGTCATCTTGAATTTTTTGCAATTCTAGTGTTCTCTTCATTGAGACTTAAATCGCTATAATTATCAAGCCTACTTAACATAGTAATATAAGGCTTGTGGAAATACATGTGCTACCATGATATGTCTACTTTGATACAAAATTAGTTTGAAAGTAAAATAGCACAAGGGTAGAGAGAAAATACAATTTTACTAGACAATGTTCACCTTAAAATTATGTAGTATGGGTTATTTTGTGATGTGTATGTCACTTGATTTATTTCTCCAAAGAAAAGTATTATTTGGGATTCATACTATGAAGTTATGATTTGGTTTTGAGTGCAGTTTTCAACACAAGAGATTTTATAAAGAAATTCTTTGAGATTTGATAGAAACAAATTTTTTTATTAAGAGATGCTCAGCTTAATTTTATGCTGAGAAAATTGCATTGTAATGTAAAAAGTCACTAAAAGGTAGACTCACTAAATGGTGTGATTTAGGGATGAAACTGAGCACTATTTTATAAATTTTGAGTCTATTTCAGTACTCAAAAGGATTCGGAAATAAACTCGTTATAAGTTGAGAGATATCATATTTTTATCATGGGATGCTCACGTTTTATTCTGCAATAAATTAAAAGATGTGGTATGTTAAGGTACATCTTTAGATTCCCAGTAATTAAGACCTTTTTAGGACTTA